TCGGGCCATTAGGCGCTGGGCCCCGTCTTCGGCGCACCCGACTTTCACGTGGCCGGCCCGTTGGCACACCCCGGGCGAAGGAGGCCATCCTCGGCGCTGCGGGGAAAGTCCGCCCCCTCCCAGCGCGTCGCGGTGCGCGCGTCTCCGGGCGGCGGTGTGCGCAGGTGGTGAGGGCACATCCCGCGCAACGGGCTGCTCCTCCGGGCCTCGGCGTGATGGTTGCTCGGCTCCAGAGGAGACGGCCTCGCGACCGACGCGCTGTCTGGCGGCTGGCCCCCTCCGCATTAGTGCTGGACACAGCGCTCCCGTCCGAGGTCCTCTGCTTCTTCCGCGGGGGCGTGGATTTCAGTGCGTGCTGCTGCCTTCGGCGCTCCCTCACTCTGGTCGTCCTCGTGGGCCTGCTGCGCAAATGCTTTTCCAGCGCACGCTGCACGCGCATGCTCCATCCGTGAATGCGCCGCTTGCTCTGGCTCTGGCGTCGCCGCATGCCCCGCCTTCGGCCTCGCCGCCTGCCGTGGCGCCGCCGCGGGTAATCTCGATCTCTGGCAGCATTGTGCCCGTCTGCCTTTGCCGACCAGTGTCGGCTACACGTTAGAGTGACCTTTCGCCGCAGTGACCCGTGGTGCGGGCCCAATGGGGGCCCCCGATCGCTGAATGCGATGCGATAGCAGCGGCTTGCTTGCGCGCCTGGTGGTGTCCCCTAAGGGCCCCCCCTTGTCCGCGCACTAAAGGTCACTCTTGCCCAGGGTCACTCTTGCTTTTAGCCGACCGATGGAGTCTCGCACGCCGAGGTCTCGCCCACATCCGCCGCCTGGTGCGCTCGGCTCCCTGCCCCATGGCCCGGCGCGACTGGAGCCGACAGTCACCCGCAGGCCGTCGCTGCGAGCGTTCCCGCGGATCTTCTCGCTCCTCTAGCGGAGCACTACGTCAGCATCGTCTAACCGATCCCCATCCCCATAGGGCCACAGTACACGCCGAGCGTTGAAAGTATGTGTGCCGGATTTCCAGATCCCAATCCGCTTGGTCCCATCGTTGAAAGAGTCGGCATGCTTTTGCCGTGGTTCGTTATTCTCTGGGCGGGCAGGAGCCCAATCTACTTTATCCGCCTTCCTGCTTTCTCTTTTTTACTTACTTCTTCCGGCCGACGTGTACGTCAGCATCGGCGAACCGATCCCAATCCCCACTGGGCCACAATATCTCAGCCCCACCAGCCCGCTCCCCCAGCTGAGGACAGGCCCCGCGAAGCCCGACGGGAACAGCGCTGTTCCCCACCCGGGGGGGCTAAGTCGGCCAGTCGGGCTTAAGGCCATGCCAGTGGGGAGAAAGGATCGGTTAAACGATGCGCTCACTGCGCTCTCCGTGCCGACCTCCCCCCGTTCCACGTGCCCGAAACCCTCGACGGCCCCGCGGCGGACGCGCAGCAGCGGCGTCTCGGTGGCGCGGGCTGGGGCACCTGCCCTTTGCGGCGTGCTTCGAAGGAACCCGATCTCGTAAACCCGCAGTTCGCATGGCAAACGCGTGCACGATGCAGTCAACCCGCATAGTAAGGATGGGCAGCGTTCTCAAGGGTACCCTTGCATCCTTGCCTCCTGGGTCCAGCCTTGGCCACTTTCGTTGGCCGCACCCCGCTCGACAAGCTTCGAAATGGGCCTCCAAGGCATTTGCATCCTCATCGCGCATCCTTACTATACGGGTTGACTGTAGGTCCTCCTTCTCCTCGTCCAAGTCTTCCTGCCTTCCTCCCCCCCCATCCCATTGCCCGCCCGCTCCTCTGGTCCCACCCCCACTCACATCACCCCCGCTCCCCTAGGGGCTGAGGTGTGTGAGCCCGACCCACGGCCTAAGGGTACATCCATGACAATCCTCCTCCTCCTCCTCCTCCTCCTCCTCCTCCTCCTTCTCCTCCAAACCATCCACTGCTGAGAGAGCTGTGGGGTCCTTGCCCCCCTGGGGGACTCCTCGGCTTCGACGCCCGTCTGGAGAGGTCGTCGATGCGATGGTTTTCGCCAGGGGGTAAAGGATCGCCTCCCCTTCTTCCTCCTCTACCCTCTACCCTTCACATTGGCCGCCTCCCCCTCCCTCCGCTCGCTTTCCCCCCCACTTCCTCCTCCTCCCCCTCCTCCTCCTCCTCCTCCTCTCCTCCTCCTCCTCTCTCTCTCCTCTCTCTCCTCTCCTCTCCTCTCCTCTCCTCTCCTCTCCTCTCCTCTCCTCTCCTCTCCTCCTCTCTCCTCCTCCTCCTCCTCCTCCTCCGCCTCCTCCTCTCCTCTCCTCTCCTCTCCTCTCCTCTCCTCTCCTCTCCTCTCCTCCCTCTCCTCTCCTCTCCTCTCCCCGCCTCCTCCTCCTCCTCCTCCTCCTCCTCCTCATCCTCCTTCTCCTTTATCTTCACCTTCTCCTCCTCCTCCTCCTCCTCCTGCTCCTCCTTCTTTTCCTCCCTTCTCGCCTCCACCTCCTCTTCTCCGCCTTTCCTTTCCGTTTGTCATCATCTTCCTCTTCCTCCCTTCTCTCGCCTCTCCTCTTCCTCCGCTCTCTTCCTCCTCCCTCATCTCCTTCTTCTCGCCCTCTCCTCCTCATCCTCCTCCTCCTCCTCCTCCTCCTCCTCCTCCTCCTCCTCCTCCTCCTCCTCCTCCCCCTCCTCCTCCTCCTCCTCCTCCTCCCTCTCCTCCTCCTCCTCCTGCTCCTGCTCTTGTGCCTGCACCTGTTCCTGCTGCTGCTACTGCTGCTCCTCCTCCTCCTCCGCCTCCTCCCCCCCCTCTCATGGATAATCATCTACCTCCACGACAATCGCTCAATAGGAGTACTACTCTTTTTCCTCCTCGGGCTACGTCCTCGAGGCGGTCCGCCCTCAGAGTGTTGTGTCCACAGGAACGCGATTATGCGTTTTTGGTAACAAGTCGGCAGTCTTCGATCCTTCAAAGTTGTGCTCCCGCTGCATCGTTGGCCTCATGTACGCGTTCTCGGTCCTTGACATTGGCGTTCCCGCTGCACCGCCTGCCTCATGTCAGGATCGGCGCTTGGCTTTCGTCGTTCAGAATGGCGATCTCGCCCAAGCAGAGGCCACATGTCTGGACCAGAGTGCTTCCTCGTCGGTGTCGCCCCCCACTCGGTTCCTCTTCCCCACCGTTCGCTGATCCTCCTGCTCCTCTCGCTCATCCTGCTACTGCTCCCGCTGCTGCTTTCTCTTCTCCTCCTCCACCTCCTCCTGCTCATCCACCACCTCTTCCTCCTCCTCCGCATCCGTCCTCCTCTTTTTTTTCCCGCCCATCCTCCTGCTCATCCGCCACCGCTTCCTCCTCCTCATCCTCCTCCTTCTCTTGCTCCTCCTCCTCCTCCTCCTCTTGCGTTTCCTCCTCCTCCTCCTCCTCCTCCTCCTCCTCCTCTTGCTTCTCCTCCTCCTCCTCCTCCTCCTCCTCTTCACCCTCGAATCTGCACAGCTCCACCTTCTGATTGCGCACTGTACGAAGCGGTCATGTTGGAGGTTTCTGGCTGACGGATCGTGGCAAGGGAGGTGGGGGGGATAGGACGTCACATATGGCGCGAGCGCACCGAGCTTGTCCTCCTTCTCTCTTCCCTCTGCCTCCCCGCCTCCGCCTCCATTCGTTCTGGGTTGTGTATGTGTGTGTGGTCAGGCAGGGGCGGCAGGCGCGCGTGTACATGCCTCCCGCCCATCCCGGCAGGAGGCCGAGGGGCAAGCACGTGCTCGCAGACCCGAAGCCCGGCAACGAGACGGACACCGCGGCCTGCACCTCGGCCCCCTGCTCTCCCCCGTCTCTGTCGCCTTCTTCCCAACGTGCCCACCTGTTCCACCCCCCTTCCCCACATGACCCCTGCTCACCCTGCTCTCCCGTTTTCGCCCTCCCCGCCTCCACATCCCTGCCTCCCCTACTCCTTCCTTCTCCTCCACCTCTCCTCCTGCCTTTCTTTTTCTTTCTACTGTCATTCCTTTTCCTCCTCCTGCTCCTGCTCCTCCTCCTCCTCCTCCTCCTCCTCCTCCTCCTCCTCCTCCTCCCCCTCCTCCCTCTCCCCCTCCCCCCTTCCTTTGCTACTCCTGCCCCTCCTCCTCCTGCTCCTCCTCTTCCTCCTCCTACTCCTCCTCCTCCTCCTCCTCCTCCTCCTCCTCCTCCTCCTCCTCCTCCTCCTCCTCCTCCCCTCCTCCCCTCCTCTTCCCCTCCCTTTGCTCATCCCGCCGCCCCCTCCTCCTCTCCCCCCCCCCTCTCACCCTCCCTTTGCTCCTCCTGCCCCTCCTCCTTCCCCCCATTTCCCCCCCTCCCCTTTGCTCCTCCTACCACACGTACTCCCCCCCCCCACCCTCTCCCCCCCCTCTTTGCTCCTCCTGCCCCTCCTCCTTCCCCCCACTCCCCCACCCCCTTTTGCTCCTCCTTGCACTCGTCCTCCCCCCCCCCTTCCCCCACCCCCCGCCCCCGCCGTCCTCAGGAGACGACGGCCTGCACCTCCAACGACCAGAAGGACCCGGCGGAGCGACCCCGCCAGGAGCCGAGCGGCGCGCCGCCTGCCCCCCGCCCCTCACGCGGGCCGAGAGACGTCAGGCCCTGGGCCTGGGCCCCGGCGTTCCAAGCCGCTGGCGGGGCCCGGCGCCGGGCTCTGTGTCTGGGCCGCCCATGGCCCAGGGCTCGGGACGACCGAAGCGGGTACGGAACTCATGGGTACAACGTCCAACAGCAGTTCGGGTTCATTCTGAGCCGGGTTCGCTGTCGGCGTCGCCGCGGACGGTATCCATTTGAGACAGGAGGCCAGTTGTGGACAAGGTTTGTCGTTGGACATCGTACCCGTGTTTTCCGTGCCCGTTTCGGGCGTGCAGAGCGTAGCGAAGCAAATCAGGAGGTCGGGGTCTGGGCTCTGCGCCCGCCTCGTCCCCACCTGCGGCACGAGCTCCAGCTGCCACGAGCTGCACGGTCGGGAGCGTTTGCCTGGCGTGTCGCGCCACCGGTTCTGGCCCGCCGCGCCTCGGCGCGACGCGCTGGCCGCGTCCCCACTTTCAGGCGTCAGCGTCCCGAGCTCTTCCCGGCCTCCCGCCCCATGGAGCGGAGCGGAGCGACACGCTATCAGCTTGCAGGGCATAGCGTGTCGCCGGGGCCGCCGCCGCGATACGCGATACGCTAAGCAAACGAGCCCGACATTAGCTGCCACGCTATAGCTGCCGCCTGGGGAGGGATCCGAGGGTCGTCGCGACGAGCATGGCAATCCAGTCCTCGGGGGATTTCGGCAGTGCTCGCTTCTTCTTGGAGTTTTCGTTCGCCTCGGGATGCTGGCTAGCTGGTTCGCCTCGCCGAGAGCGTTCCAGGGGTGCCCGACTCGTCCCGAATGGCAGCATGAGGCCGAGTTATGGCCTGAAAGCCGACCCGTCCCGAGGAGCAAGGGTGTCCGCGGTTCGGTTGGTTCGGCTGCGTCGCAGTCTGTTGCATTCGGTCGGTTTGGTTCGGTCGGCTGTGGTGTCGTTGTCGCGTCGCCGCGCCCTTCTAGGCTGCCTGCGGCCTGTCGGCTTTGGTCGGTTTCGGTTTCGCTGTCGGATCGGTCAGCTTTCGGTCGTGCTCTCGCCGCGGACGGCCTTGGACGCTGCGGCACGAACGAAAAGTGCGATAGTTTGGGCACGAAATGCAGACAGAGGCATCGAGCAGCAGCAAGCTGAAAGGGGAAGGGCGAAAAGGAGGGGATAGGAAGATAAGCTCGCGTCGAGCAAAAGTCGACTCCGACTGATCGCACGATCAAATCAGGACCAGAGCTGCCGCCTTCTTCTCCCTACTCGTCGATGCCTCGATGCTGAGGACGGTCTCGTCTGTCCGACTGAATTCCTCCCCCCCCCGCCTCCCCAGGTGGCCACCACCACCTGAAAAATCGAATCAATTCTCTGTTAGGTGGAGTCAGAGGTATTCGACTGACCAGGGGACGCTGGGGATGACGGCTCCGCTCCCTGCCCTTCCTTCCACTCCCAGACATTCGGCGTCGCGATTTTTTCGAGACACGGGACCCCAACCTCTTGATCACTTCCCCGAGAGCGGTTCTTCATCCCGAGTCGTTTTATGAAGGCCCAGAGGCTGGGTAAGGGCCCCAGAGGCCGAAAATTAAGAACATGTTCGTCGGGATTTTTTTGAGACGCCCGATGTCCTCGCTTGCCGCCGATTCCTCCCATTCCTCCTCCACCTCCTACTCACTGGCGAGCTAGGCAGCAGCCTCGCGGGCGGAAGCCGAAGAGCACGGGAGTGAGGACAGGAGGCCACAGCGAGCACGCCCAGAGGGTGCTATAGTAGGCGCAGCAGATCAGACATCGGCCTGCCATCACCGAGAACACAAGAACCGCGAACCCTAGTAACACGATGAAGACGTGGCCTCAATTAAATCCCCGTTTTCGCATTAGGGATAATACAGCTGGGCGGTTGAGTCTGATACACCTGCAAGACTGACACCCGTCCCCAATATTTTGAGCCCACCTAGCTTAGGTCGCCTCCCAAAGGGTTAGGGGCCGTTTTACTGCCAATCATGCCAGCCCTTGCCCCACTCAATTTTCTTATCCCGCAGGATCGAGGGTCAAGGATCTGGGCTTTGTGGTTCTCTTGCCTCAGGATTTGCTCCAGCAGCCGCTCCTCTCCGAGAGCTTTCCGGGGGAGCCCGAGTCGTTCCGAACGGCCGCCGGAGACCCGAGTCATGACCGAAAGCCAGATCCAGGATGGAGTCGGCCACACGGAAAGCGCGATTTTTCGCCAGTGGGACCTTTGGTGCGTGGCTCTGGGGTGGGTGCGGGGGGGCAAAACCGAAGCACGCAGCCGCTACTGTCGAGTCGACGCATGCAAGCTCGCCCTCTTGCCTGGTGCCACTCTTGCGTATAGCCGATTTCTGGCTGGCGAAGCCTGCTGGCCCCGGACCTTCTCCTCGCCCCCCTTCTTCGCAGTCGTCGACGGCGCAGTAGTACTTGCCGTCGTCGCCGTTCGTCGTCGTCGTTAGTCGTCCCTCGTTTGCCGTCGTTCGTCGTCGTTCTTAGTGCGTCGATCGTCGTCGTCGTCGGCGTCGTCGTCGTCGGCGTCGTCGTCTTCAGCGTCGTCGTCATGTCCGACCCCTGCCCGATCTGGCGAAGCCTCGACCTCACTGGGCCTTCGGCTCCGCCCCGGCGAACTCTGACGAAGGTGAGGCGCCGCCGTGACGGCCGCGGCGTTCGCCGCGGCGCGTCGCGGCGCCGTCGTCGCCCGTCTCCCGTCGCCCTTCGTCCGTCGTCCGTCGTCCTGCGTCGGCGTCGGCGGCGTCGGCGGCGTCGTCGTCTTCGTCGTCGTCGGTAGCATTCGATCGTATTCGGTCGTCGTCGTCGTCGTCGTCGTCGCCGTTGTCGCTGGTCGTCGCTGGTCGTCGGTCGGTCGTCGCCGTCGCCGTCGGCGGCGGTGTCGTCCTCGCCGGCCGTCGGTCGGGCGGCGGTCGCTGCTCGCCGCTGTTCGTCGGCGCTCGTGCTGCCAGGAGCCCTCCTTGTTCGGGCTGCTGGACTCGCTGCTAGGCGTCTGA